TTCTTGCTTTCTTGCTTTCTTGCTTTCTTGCTTTCTTGCTTTCTTGCTTTCTTTCCTGACTACTATACTCCCAGTCTAGACTTCCAAATGCATTTTGGCCTCAATCCATTATCTCATTCTATTGCACCTCAGCTCATAAGATCAAATTCAACTAATGCAATGAAATCTTGTGTCAACACTCTCTCAGATGATCGCCCTTCTTTAGTCTGATACTACCTTCTCTGGGAGTTTGAATGAAACATGTATAGTGATTCATGGGCTTCCCCCAGAGAGAGCTGGCTAGTTTCCTCCCAATGGACCTCACTGTGGAGCAATGCTGTGATGCTTTTACCAAGGTTCACATTCTGTCCCTTACCCAAAGGCTCAAAATTCATTTGTTAAAGCAGGAAGAGACTTGATCTCATTCACGGAGGTAGATTCACACTGGCTCACAAATACAACTAGAAAAAGTGTCACGCTTTACAATAAAAAACAAAAAGACTGATGGGGAGCAGCCACTTGATTTTTCTGCCCAGTATATTCATTTATTATATGCAAATTGCCTGGACATGGCTTATCATCAGAAGGAGAACACAGACTTAAATCAGGAAGTTTAGTTCCATGAATGACATATTTAGTGAAAGCAGCCAAATTGAAATGCTGGATTCATATTGCCACACTAAGGATAAACTTTCCAAGGAACCAGAAGACTTAAAGCTCTTTGGTAAACACTGTCTCCCTCTGATCCTGAAAACTTCCTTTTGTTCTTCATTGCTGACTAACCACTCTGACATTTTTTTCTTAATAATTAAAAACTTTATTTTGACCAGGCTCAGTAGCTCAGCCTGTAATCCCAGCACTTTGGGAGGTCGAGGCGAGTGGATTGCCTGAGCCCGTAGGTTCAAGTCCAGCCCGGGACCTTGGTGAGACCTTGTCTTTATAATAAATCAAAAAAATTAGCCAGGTCTTGTAGCACATGCTGTAGTTCTGGCTTCCTTGGAAGGCTGAGGCGGAAGGATCTCCTGAGTCCAGCAGGTTGAGGATGCGGTGGCCATGAGTGTGCCACTGCACTCCAGTCTGGGCGACAAGAGTGAGACTCCAACTCAAAAAAATAAAAACAAACAAACAAGAAACTTTATTTTTTAAAATGTCTGGGCTAACTAAGCTTTAACAAATTTTTTGTCTTTTGTAAGTGCCTCATTTTTTCCCCTCCGATCCTTTATGTGTTGTTATGATGTCAGAAGTCAATTTTACATTTTTACATTTATAATAGTCCCTTCTATCAAAACTATATTTATCAGAGCTGTTTCATTGATGTATACCCTATAATGTTCTCTTCAACTTTTGTTTGAGTTTTTATTTGTCTGTTTAAAAAAAAACTTAAGCTTTAATCATTTTAATCTATATTTTATGTTCTATTTTTCTGTACATTCTTTTCCTCAGTCCTTACAAACCATCCTATTTTCTCCTATAATCTGCTAACATTCTCCCCCAACCCACAATTCTGAGTTTAATTTGTCTCTAAAAATCCTGATAAAATATGCATTTTTCATTTATATAAATTTTGTTGTGCTATAAATCACAATATTACTTAGCTTTTTCCACTCTTTTTCAGGACTCTATTGCTCTATGGACATCTAGCGTATTCGCTTCTAACTTTTGCAAACTATTGTATCACACATGCTCACATGCTATAGAACCATTACTCTAATGATAGACAACCAAATTGCCTCCAACCTCCTTTGTCACAAACAATGCAATGATGGGCATCTTCGTTCTTGTCACCTGGTGTTCCTGGGAAAAACTTCCAATATACATTCCCTGGATTAGAATCTCTAGATTCTACCCAGTTTTAATATAGACAGCTTTCCAGTATACTAGAATTCCATGTGCCCATCCCTCATGCTTGTCAATATTTGGTATCATCTGCTTTTCCAATAAAAATTAATAATATCTCATTGCTGTTTAAATGAGCTCTTTTGAATACTAATGAGCATTCTTTTTTCAGATTTCCTGCTATAGCAAAATGTTGATTTTAAACATTTAATAATAGTTTTCAGGTTTTTAAGTTGGAGCATCTCCTCATAGAATTGTCATTTAGAAAATTGCTTCCGTGAATTACTAATTCATATACTTTAAATGATTTTCTATTAATTTAAAGTTGTTTTGATTAGCAAGAGCTTTTTTAATTGTTGTATATACTAGATATTAACCCACCAGTTTTAGGTATTATAACCATTTCCTATATTCTGTTAAGTTTATCCTTGATGTTCTTCACTAAAAAGAAATCCTTTATTTTGATGTAATTAAAACCACTAGGCTTTACTTCATAGTTTATGCCATTTGGGTTCTATTTTTAAAGTTTTTTTCTTTACTATTAGTTTACAAAGATATTCTATATTATCCTTTATTAATTTAATAATTTAATTTTTTGCATTCAATTTATCCTTAAGTATGATAATCCAAGAATCTAAATTTACATTTTTTTTCCAAATGCAAAGACATTTTTCTAATACAATTAGTTGAATTGTCACTTCACCATTGCTTTGGGGTGACAGTATAATATTATACTGAGTTCCCATATATACATGTGTCTATAACCAAGGCCCTTTTTCCACTGGATTATTTAAGTGTCCCTGCACCATTATAATATTATCATATTATTTTTTTGAATTTATTACTGCGGTGTTGTAGTGTATTTTAAATATGCATGCTCCTTCATATTCTTCTTTTATAAAATTGTGCAGGCTGTATATTTTTACTCTGTCATATACACATTAGAATGAGGACTCACATTCCTCAAAAATCCAGATAACTTTTTAATGGATTCAATTGAATGTATAGATTAATTTCAGGGTAAAAGACAGCCTTATTATATTTTTATCGTAATCCATGTTATAAATTAACATATTATACCTTTTAAATTACTCATAATCTATTAAGCTTTCATTAGTATAATTTTTAAAGAACTTCTGTAAAGGTCTTGAGCTTGTCTTATTAATATAAAAGCTAGATGCTTTCTATTTTTGTTACTGTATTATATTTTTATTATGTTTTTTAATTATTTATAAAAAGAACTATTAATTTTTCCACTAATCTTACATCCAAAATCTTACTAATTTTTCTCATCAGGTCTTAATTTTTGGCTCTTTTTATCTCTACTTCAGTCATTTTTTTGTCTTATGATTTTAACCAGGACCACCAAGTTTGCATTAAAAAGTAACTGTATGACTAGACATCCTTATCTTATTCCAATTAATAAGAAAATATAAGCTGTTTCTATCAGGTATTAATAAATAGTAATGTGATATATGTTTTGGTGTGTGGTTTTCTTTCAAGTTTAGGAATTACTTTCTGCTTGTGACTTCAGATAGCTTATATAAAAATTATGAATTGAACTTTACCAAACATGTTTTCTGTATCTTTTGAAATAATTACTTTTTTCTTCAATCTATTCATACCATGATTAACTGATGGTGTTTAACTAATATTTAAGGAAAGATAATTCATATCTCATATAATAATAGTCCCCACTTCTTTGGATTGTCATGAATAAGACCATTTAGAAATATATTTGGCAGAGTAATCAATACACAAATTATTATTTTATTATTTTTGTTATTGTTGATAACTTGATTAAAAGTATAGGTTATTGATATTATGTCTTAAGTATTACATTGATGGTTTTCAAACTATGTTCCTTGGAATCCTCTTACATTTAATTGAGGAAAGAAGAGTGAATGATGAACTAAAGGATAGTGCTTTCTTCTCTCCTGCATACCAATGTAACTTCAAATAGAGAAACTCTCCTTTATGTTTGTACTATGTATTACACTTCTGTATAAATTTTATTTGCCAGTAATTAGCAGTTGAATATCTCTAGCTTGGATAAATGCATATGTTTTGAATAAAAATACTATATTATTACAGTTAATCCTTAAATAATAGTTTTTGCATCAGGTGAAAATAAACAAATTAGGTATTATTTATATACACAGATATATAGTCACTACTATAGGTACTATTTATATATACAGATATATAACCACTACTATACCTATACCATACCACCAATGGACCAGATTTAGTTTTAAAAACATATTCAACCACAAAAGGCCACATTATGACTATGATGGTCCCTAGGTAATTTTTTTTTTTTTTTTTTTTGCCTTCATGGGCTCTTTCTTCTATAACAAAATTAAAGTTATATTTATTTCTGACATAGTATAAACACAAATATACTATGTTTTAAAACTTAAAAGTGCATTTTTTTCTTTATACTTTAAAAGAAATCAAAACATTTTTCCAGACTTCTCACGATATGTTAGGCCTACTGTGCTTTAGGGATAAATCTTCCCTATAGCCATGGGTCAAGATTTCCAATACTTATAAGATCCTTTCAAGTAATACAAACAATTGAGACCAACTGAGAATAACATGTTAATTGGCAACTTATAATCACCTAAAGTGACAAGAGATAAGAGAGTGAATAGAGACACATGCTATGAATCCAATGGGTCAGCTATAACTGAGCTCCAAGATGAAAACAGGTCTAATGTTTCTGAACATTCTAAGTTATTTGAAGACATACTGAAAGCACAAATTTTATACTGTATCTCCTGGTTAAAATGCTGATTTATAATTCAAATTTAAACAGTGCAGGCAATCACTGCCTAACAGAGCACATTTGTCTGCTCAATTCGAGTTGTAGGACACTGATTTTCAGCCAGTGGGTTATGAGGTAGAACTTGCAGAAATGGCAATAAAATGATTTTGAACCCAAAGGTCCTATCATCAAATGTGCTCTCTCTCGAATGTGAGAAAGTCAGGTTAGGATTCCTACTCTAATGACCTGGGTCTACAGTAGGAAATTTTTCTTGAAGCTATATTACTGTATCCAAATAAAGAACTGCAGTAACACTGACTATAATTTGTAAAAGGAGTAACTCTCACAGACACTGTACTAACAGATTTCTGTTCTATCACCCATAGAGTTCTGCTGGAGAAGGAGTATATGTGATATGGAAGTCAGAACCAATTTTTCCATGTTGACAGAATTTGTTCTGGTAGGGTTTTCTGCCCACCCAAAGCTCCGGACAGTTTTCTTTGTTCTAATTTTGTGGATGTACCTGATGATCCTGCTTGGAAATGGAGTCCTTATTTCAATTATCATCTATGATTCTCACCTGCACACCCCCATGTATTTCTTCCTCTGTAATCTTTCCTTCCTGGACATTTGCTATACAAGCTCCTCTGTGCCACTAATTCTCAACAGCTTTCTGACAGTAAGGAAAAAGCTTTCCTTCTCTGGGTGTATGATGCAAATGTTTCTCTCCTTTGCCATGGGGGCCACAGAGTGTGTGCTTCTTGGCATGATGGCAGTTGACCGCTATGTGGCCATTTGCTACCCGCTGAGATACCCTGTCATCATGAGCAAATATGCCTTTGTGCCCATGGCAGCTGGTTCCTGGGTTACTGGGCTCGTTGACTCAGTGGTGCAGACATCTCTTGCAATGCAGTTATCATTCTGTGCTAATAATGTTATTAACCATTTTGTCTGTGAAATTCTGGCTATCTTGAAACTGGCCTGTGTTGATATTTCAATCAATGTGATCAGCATGGCAGGGTCAAATCTGATTGTTCTGGTTATTCCATTGCTAGTAATTTCCATCTCTTACATTTTCATTGTTGCCACCATTCTGAGGATCCCTTCCACTGAAGGAAAACATAAGGCCTTTTCCACTTGCTCAGCTCACCTGACAGTGGTGATTATATTTTATGGAACCATCTTCTTCATGTATGCAAAGCCCAAGTCTACAACCTCTGTTGCTACAGATAATCAAGACATCACTGAGGCCCTCATCTCCCTCTTCTATGGAGTGATGATCCCCATGCTCAATCCTCTCATCTATAGTCTGAGGAACAAGGATGTAAAGGCTGCTGTAAAGAACAAGTTGTGCAGGAAAAACTTTTCTGATGGAATATGAACACTGATTTATACTATGTATCTCAATATTCAAAGCTACTGCAAACACAAAAGCCAGAAGAGAAACTTACCACATGAAAACAAATTCATGATGTTACATTCAAAATTATATGATAAAAATACTTTGGTTGCTGTTGTTACTATTAGTTTTTGTTCTGACTGTAGAAATGAAATGTAGTTCTGGTTTTAAAACCATTTCACGGGAATAAAAAATGTTGCATATCTCAGTCTCAGAAAAAAATAATTTCTCTTAAATCTTTAGAAAATGATAAAGGCAAAAAATATTCTAGAAAGCATTTTTTAACCTATAGTAAGTGTGTTATTAATTAGTATGCAAAATAATTATTAATCAGCACATGATATATTGTATATTCATTTTTAATGTGTTCATTTGTTTACTGTTGGTGTCCACTACACATACAAGCTCCCTGTGGATAGGATTTTGTCTGTTTAGTATCCCCACAGCATTCAATAAACCTATAACAGAGCCAGGTGCATAATTAATGCTCGGTAAATATTTTTTAATAAATAGCTGAGCCATTTAATGTATAAAACCAGAAATGTATGTCATCTCTGTTATATCTAACAATTAGTCAAAAAGGAAATGATTACATAAAATACTTCTAAGTAACCTATGTCAGCATTTTGTCATATAAACGATTCCTAATAGCTAAGGCATTACCTTTTATTTTCTGTGTGATGTGTATTATAGCACAGAAAAACAGATTTTGTTTACCTGCTACCAAAACTTTTCTGATATTTGACACAAAATGAGATTAAGATAGATGAAAGAGTTGCCTGGTAATGCATCCTAATTTTAACTTCATAAAATATAGGTGACCTGGTAGCAGAGTGTTCCTCTTGGACTTTAAGGAGAAACCAGGTTGGAATGAGGACTTCTTTTCTACTCTGCATTGTATCACATGGCCCCTAAGCAGTAGAAGAACTAGACAGAATTAGTGATTGACAAAAATTGCAAAATGAGGATTAGAAGGGGCAAAAGAGATTGTCAAGCTGGTCAATGGACCGAAGAGATACAGGGTTTGGGGCCCTGGAGGATGAGGCAGAGATGGATCGATATTGATTATCTATTTACTGAAAAGTGTGGCCGTGTGAGGCAGCACCCATGAGAAAACTGGAAGCCCCACTTCCATTGAGGGAATTGAGTCAGATGTGGCCAACAGAGAAAAGCAGTCCCTTTATCTAGCTCTTTGAGGAGTCTGTGGTAGTTAAAACATAAAACAAAAATCTAAACTAGAAGACTGTATCTACTTCTAAGTTGTAAGAGCCCATAAAACCCTCTTTTTGTGTTAAAAGATAATTATTATAATTTTATATTATAATATTAAATAAGAAATTTCAGACATAGGATTTAATAATATCTGGAACATCCTAAACACTCAATAAACATTGGTTATTGTATTATTTTTAGTGCTAGGTATACTTTAATACATCTTAAAGTTTTGAGTTGGCATTTTCATCCTTATTTTTTAGAAGATAACTGATGTTATTAAACTATTATTTCTCAGTTGCAAATCTACTTTTCAATGTTCTGCTTTGTTGGTTAGGATTGGAACAATGAAAATGACATATCTCCTTTTGTAGATAGCTTCTGTTACATTCTGCCTAAAGAGTTGCTACAGGGAGAATGAAAGGTTGTATGAAAATAAGGGAACCAGGCTCGGTGGCTCAGCCTGTAATCCTGCGCCTTTGGGAGGCTGAGGTGAGTGGATTGCCTGAGCCCGCAGGTTCGAGACCCGCCTGGGCAGCGAGACCTCATCTCTACAATAAATCAAAAAATCAGCCGGGCGTGGTAGCGCACGCCTGTAATTCCAGCTACTTGGAAGGCTGAGGTGGAAGGATCGCCGGAGCCCAGCAGGTCAGGGCTGCGGTGGCCGGGAGCGGCCCCTGCACTCTAGTCTGGGCGACAGAGTGACACTCCAACTCAAAAAAAAAGAGAAAATAAGGGACTGGTCCCTCCTTATTTACTTCCTGTTCCTGTCAGCATCATCCCAGCTATTGTTCTTCACCATGACAATTCACTGCTTTCGACATTGGTTTTCATTTCTTCTACTTTTCTTCAGAACGAGAAAACTACCAGCACACACCTTCAGAGGTTTGAGTCTGTCATTGGGTTTTTACTTCTGATAAATTTAAAGACTTGTCAAGTTTTTAGTCTCTATTGAGGTATCTTTAAAAACAATTAAATATGAAATTCTCTGCTTGAGTTACGTGGCAAATCACATAGAACATAAAGGATAGATAGAGTCAAACTACCATTTCTATACACACCAAAATAACTGGGCAAGACATTTCCACTTCTTCTAGAGTTACTTTCTTGTTTTTAAAATGTAGACTGTGAAAGTCTGTTTAGTATACTCTAAAATGGCATAATCATAATCATAATAATCATATAATCTTTATATAAAAATCAGATTCTCAGAGAAATGTAAGACCCTTTAAGTGTACCAACACACACATAATGGGAGTAACAGAAGGGAAGGACAGAAAAATAAATAATTATATAAATAATGGCTGAAACCTTCCCAAATTTGATGAAGCATTAGTCTATGCATCCAACAGGCCCAACAAGCTTTAAGATAAGCTCAAAAGTATACATACTTAGATACATTGTACTCAAAATGTTATAAGATAAAAACAAGACACCTCATAAGCTTCAAGAGAAAACTGGCTCATCATGTATAAAGGAACTACTATAAAGTAAACAACTGACTTACCAAAAACAATTGAGGCCAGAAGGCAGTGGGATAACATATTCAAAGTCCTAGAGGAAGAAAAATAAGAAAATCTGTCAATCAATAAGCTTATGTCCAGCAAAACTATATTTCAAAAAAAAAGGTGAAATAAAGGCATTACCTGACAAACAAAACAAATTCATTTATTGCAAAAAATTATTTTTTGCAAGGAGATTTACCTTAGGAAAATACTAAAGGAAGTTCGTTAGGCTAAAAGGAAGTAATTCCAACTGTAATTCAAATATAAACACACAGGGAAAAAACTAAAAAATATAGTTTAAAAAATCAACAAATAAATTAAATGCTTTATTATTTCATCTGGTTGGCTGCCTGAAATTTTCTTGCAACTCCTGCATGTTCTTGTGGGTTTATTTTGGAATAACAAGGAAGGGGTTTCTTCACTCTTTTTTTTATGGAATTTCTTTAAAGAATTACTCTACTCAGATCTTTTTTTAAATTTTATTTTATTTTTTTACTCAGCTTTTTAAAGTAATGTCAATATCTGACTGTTGGGATATGTGCAGACATTTTTTGTCCCACTAAACTCTGAAAATATAGTTTCTTTCCCTAGAGTTATTTCTCTTTGCTTTGCTGTCAAGCACAGGCAGCTTCAGCCATAGCCAATATTCCCCAGTAAAACATGTCAATCTTTTTAATTTTATGGTGCTTTATGAATAGCTCTCTTGAAACACCCCCCCCCCCTTATAGGTGGTTGCAGGGTGGAGGGGAAAGTAAAAGAGATTATGGTGATGGTAAAATGTATATCATAGTCATCTTTCTCCAAAGAAAATTGACAAAACTGACTTACTACACTCTTCATATTATCTCATGGATTCTTGGAATGAAAGACAAATTAATGTGTGAAGAAAAGTGGTTTCACAATTTTCAACATGTCCTAAACAGGTGATCTATAAACTCACTTAAGTAAACGAAGGTTTAGAGTACCTCTTATATTGTTCTTTACCTATTACATTGTTTTCTGCTATTGGAGCATCTGACACAGCATGATACAATGCTAAATGAAACACCAAATATAAAAGTATATCTATGTCATAATAGCAACTGCTTAAACTAGTCTTACATAAGAAAGGGATTCTCTAACCAAGCCTACATCTTGATATGACATTTGTCCATTGCCCTTGCCCATAGCTTCCACACACCATTATTTTTGTGACCAGTTACATTACCACTGTTTCCTAAAAATGTCTATAATCGGTTTTGTTTGGTTTTTTGCCTACCGGCAGAAGATTTCATAAGAATGGGTCAAAATTATCATGAAAGTTGAACAGACTTAAAGAGGAAACTCCAGTCCTTTACCAATATATTTAATTCTTCTGACTTTCTTCAAGTGCCTGACTAGAATTCTCCTCAGCCTTCATGCTGGAGCACTCTTCACGCTTCACTACAGAAGCATGTTCAAAAGATTATGCACCCACATCCATGAAAGGACATTTATAAAACAGGATTTCATTCCTGCTTTTCCTCTGCTATAATGAATGAAATAGGCCTGTATAATTAAATCTACCCAAATAAAATCTGCACTACATTTAATCTCCATGCTTAAACACAGTCTTTGCTTTCATGTATCTGTTACCATGAAACAACAGATTCCTTGGAGTCCCTCTAGCTGCAATACAATTGAATACCAAATAAAACTTACTTATTGGTATACGTTTGACATTACAAAAAGTGGATGCTTTTTCTCAGGAAGTCTCTTATTTCATGCCCTGTGGGAGTCATTAGTGCTCTTCACTGAAAATTCTAGTACTCCTTCCAGGAATACAGAAAAGTTGTTCTTTCCCTTGTAGCTGAGCCAAATTTTCTTTTTTGTGACCAATAAAATTCTAGTGGGAGTGATGTTTATTGTTTTCAGACAGAAACATTTATTTATCACTCCTTTTTCCTCCTACCAGATAGAAATGTACATTTCAAGATGAAGCCTCCATTAGTCTAGGTCCCAGGGTACTTGAGCAGAGCCTCCTTGCCACTCATGACACATTATACGTGTAACAGGATCATTAAATAAATCTTTATTGTGATAAGCCACAGAGATCAAGAGGCTGTTTGTTGCTACATCCTAACCATCCTAGTCAAATCAGTCCTGACACACACAACACCTCAAGTCAAGGAAGAAGCTGTGAGATGAAACAAAGCTAGAAGACTCTCAAAAAGTACCAATATTAGCCTGACAGAAAATGATGGAAATGGACTTTAAACACAAATTTAGATATTTGAACCTGGGACT